AAAAATTTGAATCATTAATTTGTATTGTAAATTATCTTAAATGTTAAATTCAATATTATTTTCTATGTTATTTTTTCTTTTGCTTTATTCATAAAATTATACGTTAAAAATAACATATGCAAAAACATCTGTTTTCATGTATCAGTTTGTAGGATATGATATAATTATTACCAGCTGTTTTCACCAATAAAAAATTTCAACTATAAAGTTTTTAAATTTTATCTATCAGGCTTCTTCATTAGAATCTGTTTTACATAATTTGTGTAATTTTGTTGATTGCTTGAATAAAAATTTATTAACTTTTTATTATTTTAATTAAGTCAAAAATAAATTAATTAAATAGCAATTTCATGTTAAAAATGAAAATAAATCATATTTCTAACCTGTATCAAGAAAAGACAGTATATATAAAGCTAGATTTTGTGGTAACCATGATAACAAATCTTCACAATTTGGAGGACAAAACTGATGCATAATTGGAGTCATCGTTACAGATAACATGTGATTTTGAGAAGCACCACACTGACTCTAAAGTAAAATATAAAAAATATAAGAAACATTTTAGCTATGAAATTACTATTTTATAAAAATTAAACAAATCAGTATTAAATACATTTAATTTTACAACTTAAAAAACATAATAATTAAAAATTTAACAAATTACATAATATAAATTTACAAAGTTATTTTTAGAAAACATATTTTACATTCAACTACTAATGTAATAAATTCTGTAATACTTACTTTCAATTGAAATTGCTAAGTTAGTGCTAAATAACATGCACATAAAATTTAAAACTCTATTACAGTAGAACCCCTCTAATCCGTCACCTTTGAAACTGGGGGTATGGTCGGAACGCAAAAAAGGTCAAATTATCAGAAAAAAGTAAAATAAACAATCTTCCCTTTGTCCAGTCTTTGTAGCACTGCTAATTTTTCATTTAATGAAAGAGTAACGTGTTTACGTTTCACTCCTGGCATGTTGAAAACACACACAATGTAAAACATATACTGTAACGAACACAGAAGAATGCCACGGATGGTGAGTCACTGACGAGTTGGGACAAGTTTCTCGAATCCGACCACGGTCGGATTAACCAGAGTGACGGACTAGCCGAGGGCGGACTAGAGGGGTTCTACTGTAATTAAATCTAGAACAATGTGGTGCATGTTGTGTGTGTTTCCAATTTGTGATATATTGTTAGTGGGTGGAGGATGAGTACCAGAGTACATGCTGCATTGTTCTAGATTATAACCACAATATGATAAGCTTATATAAAGAAATTGCTCATCAGAAAGATGATAGATTAACTTATAAACATGTTCCACTATCTATAATATTCTCAGAAATGGAAAGGACAACACTGACAAGCTTAGGGTACCAGTTTATAGGATTATGTTGAGAGAAAATAGATTAGTGTATGATCATGAGTACATCGGCGGCACCACAAAATCACTCAAAATAAGGCTTGCAGAACACAGATGTGAAATTGATAAAAGAAAATACAACACCACTCTAGCCAGGTACACCACAGACAATGATTTTCAAGCCTATCTAGACAAAGCTTCCATTATATGATGATCTAAGCATTACGACCAAATCAGGACACTAGAAGTTCTTGAGATACAGTGGTACCTCAGGATACGAACGCCCCAGCATACGAAATTTTCAGGATACGACACGAAATTCGAACATATTTTTGCTCCACGATACAAACAAAAACTCACCATACGACGTTACATTAGTTTGCAGCGCCATTTTTTATTCACTTCTGTTCGTCGGTCTCAGTCCGTGTGTTTGCTTCGTCATGGAAGGATCTCGCTCGATAAAGGAAATCTTGAGGTATTATCAGAAAGTGACTGATTTTATTGAAAAGGAACATCCCGAAAAGATTCACACTGGTCGTATTGCTGCTCAGAGTAATATTTGCCTAGTCATTTTTGAAACATTTTAAAAAGTAGGCAAAGCCAAACGTCTTTGGATAGATATTTTACCAAGCGACCTCTATCGAGTGAAAGTGCTGGTGGAAGCGAAGGAAAGAAAGCAAAATGCAGTGAATGAAAATTTTAAAAATATATAAAACAACGCTAATTTTTTAAATCTTTTCTAAGTTATTTTTAAGTTACTGTTACATTATGTTATGTAAGTTAAGTTTTAGTATCATTTCCCTTCTCCCTCTCTTCCTCCACCAGTTTACACCACCACTGTGGTCTATCCTCAAAGGTAAAGTGTAAATAAAACTACATTTTTTTTATCAATTATTATTCTATTATGATTATTTATACATTTACAACTACAAAATGCATTTTTCAGTGTTTTCCTTACTATAGTTATTATTTTTTTAATGTATTACTTAGCTTTGAGTGTGTTTTTCGTATTGAACGAATTATTTGGTTTTACATGTAATCGTATAGGAAAAAATGATTCACCTTATGACATTTTCATGATACGATCTCAGTGTCGGAACGGATTAATTTCGTATCCTGAGGTACCACTGTATTCAAATTTGAAAAGAAGGGCTTTTGCATCAATTTCAAGGATAAAAAACAATTATCTTATATCTGGCAATCTTTATACCAACAATAATAATCAATATATTAATAATAAATTTTTTTATTTTTATTTTTGTAACTTCTTGTTTATATTTATGTTTTATTATGTATTAGACTTTATGTTAATATGTATCACATTATATACACTTGTGCATTTTTTATGTCTTTGAGCATTTTCAAATAATCTTAAAATGTTCCTTTCCTTGCATTCCATTTTGAAACACTTTAACCTGAAGAAGATCTCCTATGTAGATTGAAAGCGATTGTATTTTATCTGCATTAAACTATGCTGGAATTTCATTTATAAGGTTCATAGGTTTGAGTTTTTTATGACATACTTTATTCCAGTCTTTCAGTATTTGAAGTATTTGGTTATCATAATGATTACTTAATGCTTCATTCAGGAGCAAAACTTTTATTTACTTCAAGAAACATTTTTGTTCTTTTGAAAACTGCTTCAGTTCTATATTTGTATCAAATCAAATTCATTCTTCCAGAATTGAACAGTTTTGAAAATCAAATTAATTTATCAAGTAAATTGGACACTAGAGCAGAAAAATCATGCAAATCTAGAATGGCTTTCCACCTAATATTTGAAGAAAATGAATCCTGCTTATTAATCACATTTAATAACAAATGTATGTAATATCATTCCAACTTTCTAACAGAATTTGAATCTGACCATTGCTTTATAACTAAAGGTCTTCCCCAATACACCTGCCCAATATGTTAATGTAGTTCTTGTCCTATTATATTTAGCAACAGATTTAGCAACGATGGGGTGAGATTCGCCACCCCTTTAAATGATGTGACAGTGGGTTAGTCTGCATAGCTCTCATACTCGTGTTGTAGTTTAGCAACAAATCAGGTAAAATGGCTAGCTTAAAAAGGAAAGTGTTAACTTTTTTTAAGTGAATATTTTTATTGTTTCTTTTTTTTTTAATTGGTATGCATTAATTTAACCTTTTGTTGCCCTTTGATTTGACATTATTCTCAAAACCAAAAGTGCCACCATTATTGAAATTTGAGACAAAATTTCTTATAAAAGGTCATTTTTGAAATTTTTAATTACATCGTTGTAAATTTAGACATAATAATGTAAATAAAGTTGATTTAAATATTTAGTTTGCACTTTTATACATATGATATTAAATTAGATGGATTTTATAATAGATTCTTAAACACACTTGATACTTTTATGGGACTGAAATTATGATCCTGCAGATAACGACACTGGGTTATACATCAAAAAATTGCCAGTCCCATGGATGACATTATAAGCGGGTTAAACTGTATATAAAGCTAGTAGTTTACACGGAAATTTTTTCTTTGTACAGTACATACAGTAAAACCTGTCCAAAGCAGAACCTTAATAAAATAGAAACCTGCCTAAATGGATAAATTCTTAGGAACACAGCAATTTTCTGTGTTAAAAAAACCTGTTCAAAATAGAAAAACCAGAAAAAATATTCAGTAACATATGAGTCCAGTTTACACAGTTTCACTGTATTTGTTTTCAACAAGATAAATTCCATATTTCATCTTAATTCAGAATCATTTGTTATTGAATAATTATAAATAAAGCAAACCACACTGTACAATACACTCTTGGTTTTACAATTGCACTCTTAATGCAATGAACTTCATTACATAATTGTAAAATCATCTTGAATTTTATAAGTTAAAATAATTTGTATTAACAATTTTAAAATTAAACTTACCATAAGGGTCTTTAACATTATATTTTTCTGTTCATCATTAAATTCTCCAAACCATTTTTTCATTACCTGCAATTAAAATTTATAATTTTTTATACTGACTTTCAATATTTAAAAACTACCACATTTAAATAGCACATAACAAAAACCAAGAAACACTAATACGATCAGAGGATTTATATTATAGAAAAATCTCTTTTAAATAGAACTTCTCATTTATCATAAATAATGGTAATGAATATTATATTTCATAAGTTTAAAGTTCAAGAATTCAAACATTTGAAATATTTACTTTCTCAGTAAAAAATTTATTTAAAAAATTAAAACTTTGCAATTAAAATTATACTTTTATAGTTATTATTATTGTTGTTTAACAATCATTTGATGTCAAATCAAGAGTTTCTAGAATTTTAGAAATTACAAGAAATTAACTATCTCTGATTTTCATCACATCATTTTTAGGTTTTTTTTATTGAATATTACTTTGTGTTTTTATAATTTATACAAATTGAAAGTTAAAAAGCATCTCTTTTCTGAAGCAAACTTTTTCTTTTTTTTCAATCCATGTAACTTTATGCATTTCTGCTATTCACACAACTACACAAACTATAAAGTCTTTTTCTAATGTTTTAGAATTATTTTTTCAGTTCTCAAAGTTAATTAAAATTCTTTTGTGATACATATCTTAAAAGAGTAACAGGGATCTTCCCATATTTGACATCACATCCATGTTCTGAAAGAGAGACTTTCCTGCAACCTTCTAACCTCCTGTCCATATTCTGCCATTTTAATATAACACGTAATGGCCAGTTTCTCAACTGAAGTAGTTAGCTCCATCTCTTCCTTAACAAAATATTATTGACTCCAGCTATGGCCACATCTTTTCCATGCATATCTTTGAACTGTCCCCATAGTACTGAACTCTCAAGTGTCAACCCTATTGCTTTATTCATTTTCATTCTTCTTCTACAATGATTTCTAAATTGGTCAGAATTCTCTATTTATAATTTCTGACTCTAAGATAAAGTTAGATACCTCTTTTGACTATTTTATTCAACAGAATTTTTCTCAACAGACATTACCTTCAAATTTGTCATTTAAATTGTATTGCAGATGTCAAAACTTTTACTTGCATTATTTATTACTGTAATTTATGTTTATTTGTTTTCAATGTTTGCAGATTTGTGAGATCAAACAGTAGAAAGATCAGAAAAGACAAGATGAGAACTAAATCCAAGTTAATGATAAGAATCAGCAGCAGCATAAAGAAAAGTTCTTAGTAAACTAAAAAAAAAAAAAGCTAG